AATAATTTTTAATAATTAATTTTAATAATAAATTTTATAAAAAATTGAAAAAAAAATAAATAATAAATAAAATAAAGTCGTTTTTATTTTTTAAAAAATTTTTTAAATAAAAATTTATTATTAAAATTTATTAAAAATGATTTAAAATTTATTAAAAATGTCAACTCAGCTGCCACGTAAGCAGATAACCTGCTAAGATTGAGGGTAACCTGCTATCAGGTGAAATTGCACATTTTTGGAGTGTTCAATGGCCTAATTGCACTTTTTTTTCGTTCAGTGGCCTAATTGCATTTTCAGGTTACGTTCAGTGGCCAATTTGAACCTTATTCCTAATAAATATTAATTTTTCAAGAAAATTGTATTTTTACCCTAAATTATAGGGAAAATTGTAGGGTTCATCCATTCATTGTGCTCACTTATCGTCCTTAACCTATAACTGACGTTACAAATTTCACTCTTTTTCAAATAAAATATTAGAGACAAAATTTACAACGTCAGTTATAGCTTAGGGACGAGAAGTTAGCACGACTAATAAGTTGGGACAAATTTTACAATTAAAAAAAAAATAAACTAAATTAAAATATTTTACGATTTTGTAGTGATGTTAAATGTACAGCTTTCAAAAAAAAAAAAAAAAAAAAAAAAAAAAGAGTAAATGATCAAGCCTTCTTGAAGGCTTTTTTTCATTAACATGATGAAATCATTGATTTATATGAAAACTTGTAGCTGCTATCTGTAGGTGTATTATATCTGGGAAATGTCAATAATGAGTACGTTAAGCTAATTTAGGTCGACTACAATTAATTATTTCAAACCAAAAAAATCAATAAATCAATTTACGTTGTCCATTATTGATAAATGTTTATTTTTAGTATATTGAAGACTCATTTTTAATATATTATAATTTTATATTTAGATAGTATACTAAAATATATTTGTAGTACACTCCAAATGAACTTTTAAAATATATAATTAATCTTTACAAATGAATTTGCAATATACTAAAAATGAATATTCAATATACTAAAAATGAACTCATATGAAAATGATTCACCCAATCATTATACCATAGACCATAGTCAACCTTGTAAGATAGACAACTGACATAAGGTATATTTTGAATATATTAAATGTATATTTTTAATACACTAAAAGTTTATTATTTATATATCAAATAATAATTATTCAGTAAACAAATAATGTACATTAATATGAACTATGGTCCAACCAACATAGTTGACGTGGTGGTTCAGCACCTCGTCCCTTAAGCATGAAGTTGGAGGTTCAATCGCCATCTATGTGAAAAAAAGCAAATCATTTGACCCCCTATCGCGCCTTGAGTCTTGACCGTAGGGCAACCAAAAAAATATGAACTATGGTCCATGGTAATTTACCGTGGTTCACCTTGCAATATATATCATAGTGCATGGAATACTAATTTCATTATAGATGGCATTGGATTTCAAAGGAAATTAACCCATTTAATTACTAAATGGGGTTCAAGTTGCTAGGTCAACTTTCTTTGGGGAAAAAAAAAAAGAAGCATTCCTTGGGCTTATGAACAATTGGGTCAGGTATTATTAATCTTCCATCAATAATATTTTTTTTTGGAAAACTTAGATGATCTCAACTTCGTCGGGTTAATCCTTGTATACCCAGCCACTGTAAAGATAAACCGCGAGTTGCACGGTAAGTCAAAAGAAGGTTTTTTTTTTTTTTTTTTTTTGAGAAAATATGTCAAAAGAAGTTAAGCCATTAGCTAGGGCACGTATCAGCCTCAGAACATGAGAAATATATATAAATATAGAAGAATGGGGTAATTCAATCATGTTGATCAGATAATAGATTTGACAATTATTAATTTGCATGTTCAGCATGGAACTGTTTATCGACATTATTGATTTGAATTGGTCAATTATGAGCAATTTAGATTCATTTATTGCATTGTGATTATTTAACGGTTAAGTCAAATACGGGTTTCATTCAGAGCGCAAGTTCAAATAGCGGATTCAAACTTTCTTGTAAATTAAAGAATGAAGAACCATATAGAAAGGAGTTGCCAACTTAAAGCTAATGGGCAAAAAGAAGAGAAACTAACATCACAAAATTAGACTCCACTACCAATTATTTGGTACATGTTCAACATTTAATTCCTCAAAATAGTTTGCTTTCAACAAATATAAAGGCCTACGTAACTTTGCCAGCACAAATGTAGCCTATAATAAATAGTTGCTCAAGATCTATACCGCAAGATATTTGTATTGATATTTGATAGTGCCAAACTGCCAACCAATATTCATATGTTTTATTGGTCATGTTTTTAGTACTCTCACTTACGTAACCTCTGCTTACCATATATAGCTATGTTTGACAAACCTAACTGAAAAGATAGCTGAAAACTGAAAAGCTATAAGCTAAAAATTAAAAACTGAAGAACTGTTAACTAGCTGATTATGCTTAAAAGTGTTTGGTAAAATTTTTTTTTTTTTATAAGTTGATAAATGTAAAAAGACAAAAAAAAAATATTTTCATAAAATTTAAATAATGTGATTATTATATTAGTTTTATATTATTATATATATGAGATATATTTAATTTATAACAAATTTTTTATTTTTATACTCTGTAATATATATGAGATATATATTAAATTTAAAAAAATTAAAAAGTTTTGTTTTTATACTATATATGAGATATATATTAATTTTTTTTCTTTCTTTTTATGTAAATCTTTAATAAAGAATGGTAAATGATGTCATTTTATTTAAAATAATAAGGATAAAGATGGAAAAAAAGTTAGGAAGCTGCCAAATACTTTGTGCACAGATGGCACCCGCGTTGGACTCCTATATGGGAGATTGTGAGTTTGAGCCTCAGTGACTGTTCTGATTTCTTGTTAAAAACAAGACAAAATCCATTCCTCCACCACTTCGAAACAAAAAACAAGACAAAATCCATTCCTCCACCACTTCGAAACAAAAAACAAGAAGAATTTCTTGTTAAAAACAAGACAAAATCCATTCCTCCACCACTTCGAAACAAAAAACAAGAAGAACAAGACAAAATCCATTCTGATTTCTTGTTAAAAACAAGACAAAATCCATTCCTCCACCACTTCGAAACAAAAAACAAGAAGAAAATGCAGCAGTGGATGAAGAACACACTCACGCACATTAAGCACACAACTCACGCATCTTAGGCATCTTAGGCACAAGACTCACACACCTTAACAGGGCGTTTGGTTGGAGGGGGGAAATTATGTGGGAAATGAATTGTAATTCCATGGGAGTTGAATTACTGGAAATAAAGTGGGAATTTAAATTCCAGTGTTTGGTTGACAGGAATAGAATTACTAGGAATTTCAATTTCAATGTTTGGTATACATGGGAATTGAAAGGGAATAAGTAGTATAAAGTCAAAAATGTCCATTATTGTTGTTAGACATTAATTTTAAGTTAAAAAAGGAAGGAGTAATTTTGACTCATCACTATCTTTTTTTTCCTAGGAATTAAAATCCCAGGAGGGGACATGGAATTTTAATTCCATGAAAATGGGGGAATTGCAATTACCTCCAACCAAACTACGGAATTTAATGGCCTTTGGAATTATGTGGGAAGGGAATTTAAAATCTCTCCAACCAAACGTCCTGTAAGTACAAAACTCATGCACATTGAATACAAACCTCACGCACATTAATCAACCGCACAACCGCACGGGAACCTTACACTATATATATATATATATATATATATATATATATATATATATATATATATATATTCTTTATTTTATTCTATATATTCTTCCGAAAGGCTGAACCACAACCCTAAGGGCCCCCTACACCCCGACCCGACAGAACATTTGGGAGGATGTAAATCATGGTGACTCAACTAAACATGATTTTATTCTATATATTAATAATACCGTTAGATACCTCAAAAGGAATAATTGAGTGGATGGAATAAAACTCTCTCGTACCTAAAAGTTATGAATTTAATTTTTTCCAACTTTCGGTTCATTCTATTATATAAGATTTTTTTTTAATATAATTTATCTCTTCAAATTATATATCTATTATGTGTAGTGAAGTTAGAATGCTTTAGACATCCACCCTATCATGACATCACAAATTATATTATTTATTCCCAAATATTTCCATGTTAGAATTTATGCACTTTCACATGCAAGGCTGACGTGCCATATATTTGTATGTGTAATTCCTTAACATTGCGACCTTATTTAGTTATTTAATCTTTTGAACTTGTACGAGCGAGGTTTGCATGCAAATCCGTTATTTGTACTTTTGCAAGGGTTATGCTAATTAAATTTTATATTTTTCAAATTTTATTTCACTTTGGACCTTTAGTTATAGTGACATTTTCATGCATGTATGGGGATATGTAAATTAACGCATAGCTACAATTGTATAGGGCATCATGTATGCATACATTTTATTGAATTGTTTGTGGGATAAATTTATGTGATTTAAATATAATTTACAGCCAGGAGGATCTAGTACGTAAATCGTACTAAGAAAATTCAATGTGATGAACTTGGTTGTGAAGAATTGGCAAGAATAATTCATAACTATTAAAGTACAAAAATCATGTTTTACTCACTTGGTCACATTTATTTTGTTCTTTTATATTATAGTATTAAAACTTTTGTTGGACTTACTACCAATGGCTAGTTATATTCACATGTTTAACTCTAGAATAACTTAGGGTGTGTTTGGTTCATGGGATTACACACTAAGAATGTAATTCAAAATTATACGTATTCGTTCGGTTTATAATTTTTTAAAATATAACTAAAAAACTCATTCTCTAATTAAAAACGGATATTATTCAATCTTATTGATAATCAAATTTTTATGTTTGGATTAATACTTTAGATATTTGTTTTGATTATTTTTTCATTTGTGACTTTACGTGCTTTAATTTGTGACTTAATTTCCCGGTTCTATAAATGTGGGATGCCTTCCCTTCCCAGTTAGTGAATAAAAGAACTAAAGTGATCGGAGAGCGGGGGAGGGACCGGAGAATCCATTGAAACTTAAAAATGGGATCGATAAGCGGCGAAGGATTGAAGCCACATGCTGTTTGCATCCCTTTCCCAGCTCAAGGTCACATAAACCCAATGCTAAAGCTAGCCAAAATCCTCAATCATAAGGGCTTTCACATTACCTTTGTTAACTCTGAGTTCAACCATAGACGCCTTCTCAGATCCCGAGGCCCGGAATCCGTCAAGGGCCTTCCTTCTTTCCGGTTTGAGACCATACCGGACGGCCTTCCTCCGTCCGACGTGGATGCAACCCAAGATATTGCGACTCTTTGTGAGTCCATTACGCAGAATTGTCTTGGCCCTTTCAAGGATCTCATAGCTAGGCTCAACCAATCCGGGCCGCCGGTTTCTTGCATCGTATCTGACGGCGGCATGTTCTTCACACTTGATGCAGCTGAAGAATTTGGCATCCCGGAAATCTTGTTTTGGACCTGCGGCGCCGGTGGATTCTTGGGTTTTGTGCTTTACCGCCTAGTCATTGACAAAGGATTCTCGCCACTTAAAGGTATACAAAATTCCATATATAGCATTAGGTTTTTTTTTTTTTTTTTTCTAGATGACTAGGTAAACCTGCAGTTATTACTAATTCTAGTTAAATAAGAGTTGTACATACCTTACCTGACCTGTTAAAATCAAGAAAACTAATAGAATGAACATTTTGGTTACTAAGTCAACAGTCTAGCCAACTTGGTGGACTCACCCAACCATTTATTATTTCAATTCCAATCCATGCATACCAACCCTGATCTAGTCTGATATGTTTTTAATTCTTTTTCCAGATTCAAGTTACTTTGAAAATGGGTATTTGGATACGGTTTTGGATTGGGTAAAGGGCATGCCCGGTGTAAGGTTGAGAGATCTTCCGAGTTTTATAAGAACTACGAACCCAGATGATCCTATAGTTAAATACATCGTCCTAATAACAGAGAGAGCCAAGAGTGCTTCCGCAATTATGGTGAACACGTTTGATGCATTAGAACAAGAAGCTCTAAACGGCCTTCAATCCATGCTCCCTCCCGTCTACGCCGCCGGGCCCTTCCAGTTCTTCGAGCAACAGGTGGAGGACAGCGGCGTGAGAGCACTGGGATTAAGCCTCTGGAAAGAAGACACCAGTTGCGTGGAGTGGCTCAACACCAACGACCCAATCTCCGTCGTCTACGTCAACTTCGGAAGCATCACCGTGATGACAGCGGATCAGCTGGTGGAATTCGCCTGGGGATTAGCCAACACCAAGAAGCCATTCTTGTGGATCATTAGACCCGATCTTGTTTCCGGGGAAGAAGCTGTTCTTCCACGCGAATTCGTGGAAGAAACCAGGGAGCGGGGGATGCTAGCGAGCTGGTGCCCGCAAGAGCAAGTCATAAGCCACCCCGCGGTCGGGGGGTTCCTGACTCACTCTGGATGGAACTCGACTCTGGAGAGCATTTGCAGCGGGGTGCCTATGATATGCTGGCCGTTCTTTGCAGACCAGCAAACTAATTGCTGGTATTGTTGCACGCAATGGGGAATTGGAATGGAGATTGACACTGATGTGAAGAGATGCGAAGTTGAAAGGCTTGTGAGAGAGTTGATGGGTGGGGAAAAGGGGCATGAAATGAGGAGAAAAGCTATGGAATTGAAGAAATTGGCAGAAGATGCTGCCACTGCTCCAACGGGTTCATCTTACAACAACATGGAGGAAGTGATCAATAAATTTCTATCTCCAAATTAAAATACTAGCTAGCTCCTCTGATCTATTTCCTGCCTCGATCGTCATACGCTCTATCGTGTTCTAAGTTCCATTGTGTTTTATTTGTTATCTAACAATATATTTATAGCATAAGGCCAGGTCTATTCATATGTAATTCATGAAAATTTTTAAAGTGTGATTGTTATTGTATTAATTTACAACACGTAGATACTACAGTTCAGGATGAATGTGTAGTAGTGGATTGGTTGTGATTAAATTTGGTGTTGATGGAAGTTATACGAAAGGCTTTGTGGTGCATGGCATGCAAGATAGGGTTGATGTTTTGCCTTGAGTAGGAAGAGGAATGCACAATTTGTTGCATATTATATTTGCATTGGAGGCTTCCCGTGCGGTTGTGCGGGTGGACGCACCTTAAGCATTAATCTGGTGCACTTAAAGTACACAACACACGCACATTAAGCACACAAACAAAACACCTTCATAACACAACCTCATGCATGTTAAGCACAAGCCTCACGCATGTTAAGCACAAAAACACACACCTTAAGTTTTAAAAATAACTCACATTAAGTACACACTCACGCACATTAAGTACAAAACTGACGCACCTTAAGCACACGACTCATGCACATTAAGCACAAAACTCACGCATATCAAACATAAAACTCATGCACTTTAAAAAGTTTCAATAACTCATATTAAGTAGACACTTACGCACATCAAGCACAAAACTCACGCACATTAAGCACAAATCGCACGCACATTAAACATAAGACTCACATACATTAAGTACAAAACTCGCGCACATTAATCACACACACAATCACACGGGAAACACTTATTAGATGCACCTGAACCCCTGAACCATATTAACAATCAGGGCGAATGGGGTTTGGTCTGGATGGTTAATTTTAATTAAGACAACATTTTTCACAGAGACGTACACTATGATCTTGGCAAGCCAAGCTTCTCTGAACATCACCTTTTTGGTTGAAAACAAACAAGGAATATTTTTTTTTTTTCGATATAAGGGGAAAAAACAAACAAACAGACATGTTATATGCACATGTGGCTTATCATACATTATTGCCAACTTCTCCAAAGCAATTTTGTAATGACTTCAATGATATGAAAATGTCGAAAGAGACCATACTAGAAATTTCTGAGAAATTATTTTGATGTTGGAGGTATGAGCTCGTTGTTGACGATTTCCTCAAAATTAAGGAAAGATTGCCCCGCAGGAGATGCCACCACTGCTTCCGCTAATTTCTTCAGCTTCATCACCTTCTCCTTCAGCTCCTTCCCCTTTTCTCCGCCCATCATCTCTCTCACCAGATCCCCAATCACATTCCTATCCCCGTTGGAATCAATTTCCATTCCAATCCCCAACTCCGTGCAAGAATACCAGCAATTAGTTGGCTGCTCTGAGAAGAAAGGCCAACATAACATAGGCACACCCGCAGAAATACTCTCCAGGGTCGAATTCCACCCACAATGCGTTAAAAAACACCCAATCGATGGGTGGTTCAGCACTTGTTCTTGTGGGCACCAACTTGCCAATAACCCCCTTTCTCCCGTCTCGGTTACAAACTCCGGTGGCAAAATGGTCGATTCTCCGTTCACTAAATCGGGTCTGATTATCCACAGGAACGTGAATTTGCTATTTGCAAGCCCCCAGGCAAATTCAAGTAGCTGCTCAGGAGTCATAACTGTGACACTTCCATAGTTCACATACACAACTGAACCGGCTTCTTTCGTGCCCAACCATTCCAGGCAATAAGGATCTTCCTTCCACAGATTGTATCCAATGGATTTCAATTCATCCCCTAGAGGAAATTGATTGCGGAGAAGGTGAAGAGGCCCAATTGTGTAAATTCCTGGAAACTTAGACCGAAGTGCGTTTATAACGTTAGGCTCTAGATCGTCAAATGTGTTCAAAATAATTGCCGATGCCTTGGGAATTGCCTCAACTTCTTGAATTGCAAATTGGGATATGACATAATTTGGGTCCTCATCCTGGCCCGAGTTCCATATGAAACTTGGTAAATATTTTGTCGGAATACCTTTCAAACCCGGAATCCAATCTATAATACTATCCAAGTACCCGTTTGTCATCCAATTTGGCCCTGCAAAGAAGATAAAGTAGGTAAATTTTCTAAATTCTAAAAAATTATTTCCATCATACAATATAATAAAAATATCTAACTAAAAACTTATAATAACGTAAAGACGTAAAGTCACCAAAATAAAGTTGGCGTGAACCAATTAAATAAAACTAAACATATATACTTTATACCGTTAACTGGGGTCAAAAATTTTTCAGCAAGTTGACGGTAGTGGACGTAGCCCTCCAAACCACAAGCGCTGCAAGTCCAAAAGAACACATTGGGAATGCACAGTTGGTCCGCCACCTTGTGGGTGAAGCTCATGGTGCCGTCGGAAACTATGCAAGTCACCGGAGGGGATTCGGAGGAGGAGGGGTCATTCAACCTTTTAACCAGCTCCCTAAAGGGGTCCAAACAGTAGTTGGTGGAGGACACAGTAAGGGAGGCGACGTCTTGGGTGGCGTCGGGATTGGACGGCGGTAAGCCATCAGGGATGGCCTCGAATCTGAAGGATGGAAGACCTTCCATGGCTTTGGAGCCTCTGGACCTGAGAAGGCGGTTGTGATTAAAGTCGTTGTTGACGAAGGTTATGTGAAAGCCTTTGTGGTGAAGCAGCTTGGCAAGTTCCAGCATAGGCTTGATATGGCCCTGTGCCGGAAAAGGGATGCACACTGCATGAGGGCGTGCCATTATTGGACGATATAATGCAGTTTTTGTTGCAGGACACAAATTAAAGGCCTGACGGATCAAGCTTTTAATATATACACAAAGAAAGGTTAGCCTTATAGATCAAGTCCCATTAGATAAAAAATTAAAACTACAAAATTCACATCATCTTGAAAGAGTTTCTCTTTCTGGAATGAAGACAGGCTTAACCGTTAGTTGACATTTTTGATATAAGTACAAAACTATATTGGACTTTAAAATTTTCAAGATTTGAAATGGTTGGTTGATTCATGTGCTTCCAAGAAGAGCATGCTTTTTGGAACGTGTAGTCTATATACTATAGTGATGACCCTTGGGTTCACGACGAATCATGGACCGATCAGCACCGAAATATCCTCATCGTAGCCAACTCAGAATTGGGTGTCACTTGTTAGTTCTCAATCATGCCTAAGAAATATTTATTATGGAAAACTAAGGGTACGTTTGGAAACTCGGAAAATGACTTTTAAAAAATATTTTCAAGTATAATCCGGATAGAGCTATAACTAACTACGCTACTGATAGAAATCGAACCCAGGTGATTGGATTAAGAGTACGAGATCAAGACCACTAAACCATAGTGCTTATCGTGACTAAGTTGCCCCTTGCCAGGAGTCCAGGACCCCTATTCATAGCTTGCCCCTCCCCTTCCCGACTTCCACGTGTCCCACGTTACTCAAACACCACTCCCCCTTTTCCCGTACACCACCCCGCACGTTCACCACACCTCCAAAACTCCCGCTCTCCTACACGCACCCCCGCACACACGTGCACCCTCGACCCCGTGCCGACGATATAAAAACAAAAAAAAGGAAAAAACAAGTAAATTACTTAATTACCCCAACTAATCAGTGTAGATTAATGTGGATTCATATGTCTGTTACGGGAGGGGCTATATGTGCATCGTTTTAATAATTGAGAGGTAACATTTACACCACTCATAATTCAGGGGTGACATTGATAATTGGCCCGGGCATTTTTTACAATTTTTCCTAACAACTATATATTATATTATAGTTCACCAGGCCATTTCCATGCATGAAATGTGTTACCATCTAATGTGCATGAAATAAAAACATTATAAAACGACTGAAAAGCAAACCCACTGAACCCTGCAAATCTTCCCGTCGATATGTCTGCACTCCAATTTCATGGCCAAGCACTTCCAGCATTCAAAGCGTATCTGGCGGCCGGTGATGTGTGTGCGGTGGCCGGGAATTCTAGAGCGACGGCTCCGGCCTCCTGAGAATCGGATGGTTTGTGTTGCAGTTCTTGCAGTACAGTGGCACGGAACTCCGACCATGGCTCGTGGGTACTTGCACCCCTTTTCCCCACACATATATGCATGCATCAAAGCAGCATATATAATGATTGAAACATATACTTTAATTTTTGGCCAACGTATTCGAAGAAAATATGAAAAAAACGTAGCAAACTAGGATGATTAACTCCCTGCAGGGATATAAGTAACACATAACAGAGAAGAGACATAATAGAAATTTCTGAAAAATTATTTTGATGTTGGAGGTATGAGCACGTTGTTGACGATTTCCTCAAAATTAAGGTAAGATTGCCCCGCAGGAGATGCCACCACTGCTTCCGCTAATGTCTTCAGCTTCATCGCCTTCTCCTTCAGCTCCTTCCCCTTTTCTCCGCCCATCATCTCTCTCACCAGATCCCCAATCACATTCCTATCCCCATTCGAATCAATTTCCATTCCAACCCCCAACTCCGTGCAAGAATACCAGCAATTTGTCTGCTGCTCTGCGAAGAAAGGCCAACATAACATAGGCACACCCGCAGAAACACTCTCCAGGGTCGAATTCCACCCACAATGCGTCAAAAAACACCCAATCGATGGGTGGTTCAGCACTTGTTCTTGTGGGCACCAACTCGCCAATAACCCTCTTTCCGCCGTCTCGGTTACAAACTCCGGTGGCAAAATGGCCGATTTTCCGTTCACTAAATCGGGTCTGATTATCCACAGGAACGTGAATTTGCTATTTGCAAGCCCCCAGGCAAATTCAAGTAGTTGCTCAGGGGTCATAACTGTGACACTTCCATAGTTCACATACACAACTGAACCGGCTTCTTTCGTGTCCAACCATTCCAGACAATAAGGATCTTCCTTCCATAGATTGTATCCAATGGATTTCAAATCATCCCCCAAAGGAAATTGATTGCGGAGAAGGTGGAGAGGCCCAATTGTGTAAATTCCTGGAAACTTAGACCTAAGTGCGCTCATAGCGTCAGGCTCTAGCTCGTCAAATGTGTTCAAAATAATAGCCGATGCCTTGGGAATTGCCTCAACTTCTCGAATTGCAAATTGGGATATGACATAATTTGGGTCCTCATCCTCACCCGAGTTCCATATAAAACTTGGTAAGTATTTTGCCGGGATACGTTTCAAACCCGGAATCCAATCTATAACGCTATTCAAGTACCCATTTGTTAGGCAATTTGGTCCTGCAAAGAAGATAAACTGTGTAATTTCTTGAAATTCTAAAAAATTATTTCTATCATAGAATATAATAAAAATATCTATCTAAAACTTATAATAGTGAATCCATATCAGTACCCATGGCAAACTATACCATTGACCAAGATTTATGTTGTATTGTAGATCCGTATCTAAAAATAACCTTCAAATTATATACTTACAGTTGACACATGCATTCTGAACTAGCAGTTAACTATTTCTGTACATGTAGACAAATTGAAAGCACATCATAGGGTAATTACAGATAATAATTACAGACACATAAAATATTAAATGCAAGTACATAAAATGTTAACTACATACACATAACATGTTAACCAACATCTTACGTGTCTACAATTAACATATTATGTACCTGCAGTTAACAATTTATGTGTTTGTAATTCTAAAAAAATAATAATAATAATAATAATAATAATAAGTATCATGTTATGTGGCTTCAATTTGTTTACACATAATTTCTAGATCTATATATCATGGTTTACATTTTACAATACAATATGAACCTTGGCCATGGTATAACAATTGAGTATCCATGACTTATGTTTTTATTTTTATGTATACTACAAATATTTTATTATCACTTTTATCGAACAAAAGTATCTCTACACTATAATATTCAACAACATTAAGCAAATAGCATATAGTTATGCATAATTGAATAGCGTAAAGTCACCAAAATAAAGTTGGCGAGAACCACTATAATAAAATTAAACATATATGCTTTATACCGTTAATAGGGGTCAAATTTTTTTCAGCAAGTTGACGGTAGTGGGCGTAGCCATCCAAACCACAAGCGCTGCAAGTCCAAAAGAACACATTGGGAATGCACAGTTCGTCGGCCACCTTGTGAGTGAAGCTCATGATGCCGTCGGAAACTATGCAAGTCACCGGAGGGGATTCGGAGGAGGAGGGGTCATTCAACCTTTTAACCAGCTCCCTAAAGGGGTCCAAACAGTAATTGGTGGAGGACACAGTGAGGGCGGCGACGTCTTGGGTGGCGTCGGGATTGGACGGCGGTATGCCGTCGGGGATGGCCTCGAATCTGAAGGACGGAAGACCTTCCATGGCTTTGGAGCCTCTGGACCTGAGAAGGCGGTTGTGATTAAACTCATTGTTGACGAAAGTTATGTGAAAGCCTTTGTGGTGAAGCAGTTTGGCTAGTTCCAGCATAGGCTTGATATGGCCCTGTGCCGGAAAAGGAATGCATACTGCATGAGGGCGTGCCATTATTGGACGATATGATATTATGATATGATGCAATTTTTGTTGCAACACACAAATTAAAGGCTTGACGGACCAAGCTTTTTATAGACAGAGAAAAGATTAGCCTTATAGATCAATTATTGGATCAGATTTTTTTTTTTTTTCATTGGGTGATGATGTTGATTTTAGCCGTTAGATTACATCTTTAATATAAGTAAAAGAAATTATATTCAACTTTGAAAGTTTCAAGATTTGAAATGGTTGGTTGATTCATGTGCGTCCAAGAAGAGCATGGTATTGGTCTTTTGGAAACGTCTACATATAAGATACTATATTGGTTGCCCTTGAATTGGGTGCACGACGAATCATGGACTGATCAGCACTGAATTAAATATCATATCCTCACTGTAGCCACTCAAAATTGGTTGTCACTTGGCAGTTTCTTTCATCTCAATGCATGCCTAAAAAATATTTATTATGAAAAATTAAATTGACAACCACAAAATTGATGGAGGAACCCGGAAAATACTATATACATTTTTATTTTTTACTCTCAACTTGTATTTCCTTTCACAAATTCTTGATGTAGACATATTCCCTAGGATCCACATGATGAAAATAGCCAATCTTTATTTGTCATGTCAGTGAGTACAAGTGGGGGAGTATAATTTGAAAGTACATGTAGTAGAACTCGAGTAACCCTAGCTGAGTTAATTGAAGTGTTAAAATCACAAAATTTTATGATTTCAATTCGACTGAGAGAATAGCTTAGTAATAATCATTTTACTCTAAATAGTATTACAATTTCATATATAAATATTACAATATTTATTATAATTTATAAGTAACATTTTATTTATTTTAAATTGCTCGTATTAAATCTTTTGTAATAAGTATCTTTGTAATAAGTATTATGATGATTCTATCATAATTAACAAATAACTATCATATACGGAGTATTTGACATATCTCACGTGTTAAAATATATGAGGAATTGAAGTTTCACACAAGTATGATTTTAGCTAAAATATAAAATTGCATTAATAATTAGAAGATACAACAACAAAAGTTAGAGTTCCGAGAAATACGGATGGCGACAAGAATAGGATGAGGGGATTTGGTTTTTTTGATTTGTGAGTGCTCTTAGTCACATGCACGTGCTAGGGGATTTGTTTTTTTTTGATTTGTGAGTGCTCTTAGTCACATGCACGTGCTAGGGGATTTGTTTTTTTGATTTGTGAGTGCTCTTAGTCACGTACTAAGGACAGAGTGATCTTAGTCACATGCACGTGCTAAGGAAAATAATAAAAAGAAAAACAGAAAAGGGTCAAATAGACTTCGAATTTTACCTTAAAAATTAATTAGCTTCTTAAATTTTTTAAAGGTGCAATTACACCTATCAACCATTCATTTAGGTGCAATGAAGCCCAAAAATAAGTTAATGACCTGCTATCACATGTCATTAGGATTCAGGCCACCTTCCGACGAATTTTCCGGCAAAAAAAAAAAATTGATTGGCGAAATTTTCGACAAAAAAGTGACTGGCAACCGACGAAATTTCCGATCACTTTTTTTTTTTTTTCCGGAAATTTCGCCGGTCACTTTTTTTTTGTTGGAAAATTCCCCGGAAGGTGGCTTGAACCCTAATGACATGTGATAGCAGGTCATTAACTTGTTTTTGGACTTCATTGCACCTAAATGAATTGTTGCTGGATGTAATTGCACATTTAAAAAGTTTAGGGGCCTAAATGACTTTTAAGCCAAAGTTCGAGGGCCTACGAGGGCCTATTTGACCCTTTTTCCAAAGAAAAATATTACTTCAGCTCTCAATTTTTATTTTTTCTCACACAATTTTAAAGAGTAGAAATAGAGATTATATGTAGTAAAACACTAATAAAAATGGTTGGCCATCACCACCACCACCATCATCATCATCATCATTAGAGTCATATTTGTGTGAGACTATTTCACAAATTCTTGCATGTGAGATGGATCAGATTGGGTTAATATGAAAATATAATACTTATTGAAAACAATACTTATTGAAAACAATAATACTAATCAAAACTAAAATGTTTGTTACTTATAAAATCTACGTAGTAACATTTTTTATAAAATGTAATACTTTTACATCTTAATGTAAAAGTATTACGGAATACTTTTTTTCCCATCCCAAGTAAAACTTTCTCTTATAAATAGTGCTGCCAAGTATTTGTTACTAATAAGAGAAAATGTAATATTGTACTTTTAAATTAAAATGTAAAAGTATTACATCTTTTCTTCAAAAGTATGGAGTATTACACTTTGCTATATATATATATATATATATATATATATATATATATATATATATATATATATATAGTTGTTAGGCTTAGTGATAATGAGTCCATCATGTTATATGAGTTCGTGTGGACAAATATAGGCCCTTGAATAACCATTTTATTCTTGATTAGTATTACATTTTTTAACATAAATATTATATTTTAATCTTGACCCGATCTGTCGGTCTCACATAAATTTTTTCCTTATTATTATTAATATTATTAATAAAACAATCAAATATGTCATAAGAACGGCAATTGTATAAGGTCGGCTAGTATAGTGTCTTACTGATAAATAATGTATTGTTTTAGATAAGGCCGGCTAGTAGTGTTTTAGTGGGAGAAAGCCACACTATTTGATTGAGACGTACAACAAAAATTAACCGGTGTAGTCATAAATTACTTGATGAGGCATATTGGATTGATTATTCATTTGCTAGACTTGTACGTCTAAAACTTCTGTGAGTTTATTAATTTTTATTATCTTGACTCATCAATGTACTCGATAGACATGAATACAAAAACATGATAATATATAGAACATTGGAGATTTGGAGTTTAGCTAGAAAATTCAAAATGAAAACAAATTATTCACTTTTTGGGGTAAAACAAACTAAAAATCCATTATATTATACGTATGTATAGGCCTTTAATTTTCAGAATATATTTGAGTAGAAATATAATGAATTGGGCGTGAACGATTGATGAGTTGAATGAGATTGAAAGGTAAGTACGTATTTGCGTAGCCATATCATATGAGGGGAGAATTGGGTTTGTGTAAGAAAATAACTGGGTAATTATATATATTAACAAAACAACTGATCGGAATGATGATAAATTTGAGTCGTGTGAAAGTCACACTTCCCTTAAAAAAAATTTGAAACTAACCTTCCAGAGGTATTATGAGTGTTGTAACCTAAATTTTCTAAGATAAAACGAATTTCAATTTAATTTTTGAGCACTCAACAATTAAATCCTGCGAACAAGAACAAGGAAAGAACACAAGTTTCTTTAGAAATATTTCTCCTCCTTTTGAATAATTCACTACCTTAATTATTCAACCACCAGTACGTTAATAATTAATCCAAATATTGAATATTAATGAAATAAAATAATATACTCGGAGTAAGACAGGAAAAAAAAAAAAAAAATTGCTCTGGAAGATTTGCCTTAATTTTTTTCCGGATGTTTTCTCTTCGTGATCTTCCTCACTAGCATAACCCATATATATAGATATGATTGGTTCTTTCAAGGAATAAAACAAAGAACATGTTCAACTTTCCTTCGAAATCCAAAAAGACAAAAGAAAAATAATAATAATAATAATAATAATAATACATTATTAAAGTGATTTAATTATTTGGTCTTGAGTTTGATTGTTTGGCACGTTGTCAAGCATAAGTATAGTAATTATTATTCAAGACAATATTAATTTAATTAATGACATGCTAGTTGATCAATGAATCATAGGTTGTCCTCATCCTAGAAAGAAGACCACTTGCAAAATGATGTGTGAGATGATATTGATTTTTTCTTTTTATTTTGTTTTAATTGTTTATCTTATGTGGCTTGAAAACTTGCTAAAATAGCAAGCTTTCAAGTCAGCAAAAGGCTGCATGGCCGCCTTTTGACTTTTTTTTTTTTTTTTTTTTTATTATTTTTGTTATTTTAATATTATTTTATTATTGTATTTATAATATAATATGAAAGTGAGATTACTTTTGAAGATGAGAGAGTATTGTAGAAATATAGAGAAAATAGTTAAAAAGTTACAAATAAATTTGATTATATAAAAGTGGGACTCATTTTTTTAAAGTGAGAAAGTATTGCAGGGATAAAGATAGCCTCACATTCAAGCTAAGGGTTTAGTTTTCCTCACCTTTCTTGTATTTCTAACCTTTTTTTTATTCTCATTTAATGAATTATCTTTGTTGGCTTTCAAAAAGAAAATAAATACATTACTTTTAAGTTAAATCTCAATGGATTTTAATGTTAGATCATTGGATAAATAGTCATCTCAATATGAAATCAACTAAAGCTAGGTCAATCATTTTCAAGTTGTGTTATTAATGACTGTCGCCAGTTCCATCAACACTTTAAAATTGTGTCCTTTAATTATATTCCTAGATTAGAAAATAAAATTGTTTATGTGTTAGCTAGGACTACTCGTTCTTAATCTGGTCATTTTATTTGGCATTCTATTATTTCACATTGTATTGAACGTTTAATTTATTGAAGCGTTTTTGTTGATTTTCAAAAAAAATATATATATATATATATATATATATATATATATATATATATATATATATATATAAAGCTAGGTCAATCAAATTTACTTTCTGGCCTGGCCGGGCTAAAACTATAAGAGAGGCAATAATAATGGATGTTTAATTGTTCTTTATGTATCCTTCTTTTTTTTTTTTTTTTTGGAACTACAGAGAGGGCTACTTTATGTATCCTTCTTCAAAATTCATCATGTACATAAATAATAATAATAATAATAATAATAATAATAATAATAATAATAATAATAATAATAATAATAATAATAATACTTGAGTTTTGATTTATATATACTTATTTATGAAGTAAGAAGGAAAAATTAGTTACATTAATTAATTTGTTTAAAAAAATAATTAAAACGGTTTATTTATAAATTTAAGCCCCAAAAATAGTTAATTTTATGATCTAATTGCTAACGGTCAAACTAATACAAACACAGACATTCTAAATTAAAGAAGGTCAAAAGAGTTAAAAACTAGTAAATTACGTTTA